GTAAATTATAACATCATAGTAAAAATATACCAGGGATGAAAGAAATAAAAAAAACCAGAGGTACAATAAAAGTGAAACCAGGAATAAAGTTTAAAAGTATATACTAAAAAAGCTACAGTTGATGAGAGGGGGCTAAACTTTCTGGCATTCAACAATAAAAAGGAAACACAACTAGTTATATAATTCATAATTTAGACATCCATATTATTACTATTCAGAAGCATAACAATTCAAGACAGGACATGAAATAGGAATTTATTCTGGTGTATGTGGAAAGAAGTGGAAAAGAAGTAGTAATCGTAAAGAGAATGCTACAGAAAGCCTAATGGAACACGAGCGTCAGAGGACATCAATTTAGACTGCAGGCATCAAAACGAAGTGCAAAGAACTAAAAGCAAAGTAAAAGAAGTAAAAAGTAAAATATATATATTCATCTCAACCAAAATAAGATTTTAATAAGACTCCTGGACATGCTACTTCATGCTATATCCTCCAAAATACTGTGAAAGGTACACCAACGTAAGGAAATGAAACATTTTGTTGAATAAGATTATTATGCATAATTCTACCAAAAATTGCTTTAATTTTAAAATACTAGATTTGTAGCACCTTCTTTCTGGCTATAATAAACTTGCAAACATCACAACTTTGAGACAAAGATTATAAAACTTCATCATCTATATTTGAAGATGACTATCTTTCTACCTTGTTACAGTAGCTGTTTCCGCTTTGCGATTTCAGATACCATTGAACTTTTTTTAAATTGGGGGACAAATACTGGGTTGCCAACTATTTACACTTGATAAGTGAGAACACTTAAAAACAAAAAATAATAACCAAAAAAAAAAAAAGAGAAGGCCAAGTGCAGTTGCTCAGGGTTGTAATCCTAGCACTTTGGGAGCCGAGGTGGGAGAATCACTACAGGCCAGGAGTTTTACACCTGCCTGAGCAACATTGTGAAACCCCGTCCCAATATAAAAAAAAAAAAATAGAAAATTTAGCCAGGCACGGTGGCGGTGCCTGTAGTCCCAGCTACCTGGGAGGCTGAGTCAGAAGGCTCGCTTTGAGCCCAGGAGTTTGAGGTTGCTGTGAGCTAGGCTGACGCCACGGCACTCTATTCCAGGCAAAAGAGTGAGACTCTGTCTCAAAAAAAAAAAAAACCATGGAGACAAATAACAAGAAAACTAGCCTTTCAAGTTTGGAACTGGGACTGGCTAATGGTAGACCCAGGAATTGCTATTTTTTTCCTAAGCCTCTAAGTACTATTTGATTACTGTTTTAAAACTATTTGCATGAATCATCACTTTAATAAAAGCAGAAATAAAAAGAAAACCACAAATAATTTACAAAGAATTAAAATAGGGTTTACTTTTCCTCTCATGTTATGTGACAAATAGAGTTATTTTGATAGCACTTAAAGCTTTATAAACATTAGAGACTCATGAATGCTGAAGTAATGGCAATAATTTTTTTCTATAAACTTTTCAGTGCACAATAAAATAGAAGAATTCACATTAAACTATATTGTATTCTGGTTTGATCTTATCAGAATAAAGGACTCCAATTTTTAATATGAATTAATACCTTGTAAATTCTCTACTGCCATTCTATTGAGATTTTTCTCAGCCAGAATAGATAATGGTCAGTGGTCAGTCCACGATGCTGAATTAAGGAGTCAAGTACGGTTTATAGACATTACCACAATGGATTTCTAAGGGAAAAAAGGGAGAGAATGCTGAAAGCCAGACATACCTCCCGGCGCACCATACTACATTCTGACTGGTCCAGAAGAATGTTTACCACAGTTCCCCAGAGCCCACCAGAAATGTTCTGACAACTGTTTGCCAAGGCCACACAGCCAGTTTCCAGGGAGGTCAGTGCTGATCCTAATCCCAGTGAAGTGAATCTCACCTGTTCAAATTAAAGAGAAAGTTATTGAATCAAAGAATCCTATTTTTCAGGTACATAAAATATTATGCTTTATAAGTATAACATTGGTTTTACAATCCCAAATTATAAAAAACACTTATAGAAGATAGTGTCCTAAAAAGTTACAAATCAATAAAAATCCTATTCCATGACTTAAGAAAGCAATAAAATAGAAAAAGAAGTTAAATATAAGCAAATGTCATATAAAGTTAAAACTAGGTATAAATAAGAAGCATAAATGTTATAGATTACAAGCCTTTCTCTAGGGAAAGCAGAGAGTACTCAAATGTCTTTTATAAACATAATTTTGATTTATTCTTCATTCTTAAAAAGGGTTCCTATTACTTTGTTCTACCTGTCCTAATTTTTTAGTGTTTCTTACAGAGAAATGATTTTGACTTTCTTAAAACTTCTTTTCTAAACAAAGAAGTCATTAAATTATCTTTTTGCAAGGCATTTAGTATTTTCTTCAAAATTATCTTAACAAAAAAATGTTTCCAAATAACACTGATGTGGTGTAATATGCTTGCTATAGAACCACTGCCCTCAAGCCATGCATTTTAGTAAATTTCTGAATTCTGAACCTAAAATACAGTTTCAATGATAGCTACAAGATGAAAAAAAAAAAACAATGTAGTCATAACATAGTCAAGTAATAAGTCCAAGTTCAATGTGGCTAAAAATGTAACTTTTAAGTTCAAATCAAATAATGTTTCTACAAATGAAGGTTTTTATTATAATAACATCTAATCATTTCTTGCTTGAAGTCAGTGACAAATGGCTAAAACTGGAAAGTTTTTGGAAAGTTACTTGGTAATATAAAATTTTACATTGTAATGCAAGTACAATTTTTTTGCATTTAATTCCATTAAATGACACTCAAATGTCACTCAGGTCTATAATTTATAATTTCCAGCTATTCTTCTGAACTTTGAAAATGGCTGAGCCTCTCCAATAATTTTTCACTGTTCTTTCTGAAAGTGATAGATCTTATAATCTTTTTTCTTTTATATTTTCAATCTGTACTCTGATAAATTTGAAAAGGTACTATGCACTGAACTGTGTCCCTTCAAAATTCATGTTGTTCAAAACTCAATGTGACTATATTTAGAGACAGAGCTTTTAGGAGGTGATTAAGGTTAAATGAGGTTATAAAGGTGGGACCCTACTGCACTAAGATTGGTGGCCTTAGGAAGAGAAAGAAACCTCTTTCTCTACGTGTATATACCAAGGAGAGGACATGTGAGCATCCAGTATGAATGTAGCTATCTGTAAACCAGGAAGAGCGCCCTCACCAAAAACCAACCATGATGATACCCTGATCTTGGACTTACCAGCCTCCAGAACTGTGAGAAAATAAACTCCCATTGTTTAAGTCTCCTAGTGTATGTGTTTTGTTATGACAGCCCAAGCACACTAATATAAATTTAGATACCACAAAGTGGGGATGATGCTGAAACAAACATCTAAATATGTGGAAGTGGCTTTGGAATTGGGTAACGGATTAGAGGCTAGAAGAGTTCTGAGATGCATGGTAAAAATATGGACATTAAGGGTGATTCTAGTGAGATCTCAAACAAAAATGAGGAACATGCTATTCAAAACATGTTTTTGGAGGAAAGGCAATCCTTGTCATAAAGTGGCAAAGAAATTGGCTGAACTGTGATCATGCTCTAGTATTTTGTAGAAGGTAGAACTTGTGAGCAATGAAATTGAATATTTAGCTGAGAAGATTTCAAGCAAAGTGTAGAAGGAGTGGCTTGGTTTCTCCTGACTGTTTACAGCAAAATGCAAAAGAAGAGAGATAAATTAAAGAAGGAATTAAGAACAGGTAAGCAAAAAGGAACAAGAAGATTTGAAAAATTCTCAGCCCACTCATGCAAAAAATGAGAAAGCTTGTTCTAAAGAGAACATAGATGGTGTGGCTGAACAACCACTTGAGAGAGATCATGAGTGCGACTCATGGACTTAATCAGCCATCTCAACAGAAGCCAGGAACAGAGATGGGAATATATTAGCAAAGATACTGCCAGTTTGAACTAAAGGGGACAGAGGAGGCGGGATGGAATGATGGAAGGCTGTTGGACTTCTTGGATTCTATAGGCAAATACGTGCTACAGTAGTCCCCCCTCATTCATGGGGGCTATGTTCCAAGACCTCCATTGACGTCTGAAACCACAGATAGTACCAAATCCTATACACAGGCATGCACACACACACACACACACACACACACACACACACTACGTTTTTTTCCTATACCTACATATCTATGATATTTATAAATTAGGCACAGTTAGAGATTAACAGTAATAATAAAATAGATCATAACAATATACTGTAATAAAAGTTATATGAATGTGGTCTCCCTCTTTTTCAAAATATCTTATTGTATTGCATGCACCCTTCTTCTTGTAATGATATGAAATGATACAATGCCTCCATGATGAGATGAACTGAAGTAATGATATAGGCATTGTGACATAGGATTAGGCTACTTACGACTGCTTTCAGAAAGCAAAACCTCTAATTGGGGGGGACTACTGTATTCTTTAATGAAAGGGAAGAATTAACCCAAAGGTGATTCAGAGATCACCTATGTTGCCACTCCCACCATAGGCCCAGGGGGCAAGGCTGTTTCCTCTTTGGTTTCAAAGGGTGGGGCCACCCCTCTGGTTTCAGTGGGTCATGGCCCTCGAAGACAGCAGCATGGGTGGGGCCCTTACAGATAGCTGAAGGGATGAGGCCATCCCCTAGAGCCACATAGAGGGTGTCCCTCCCCCAACCCCCATGGGCCTGTAGGTTATTGCATCATGTCCAAGAACATTATTCTTGAGCCTTAGGACCTAATAGAATTTTCCTTGCTAGGTGTTGGGCTTGCTTAGGACCCATTATTCCTTCCTTCTTTCCTATTTCTCCCTTTTGGAATGGGAATGTCTATCCTACCAACGTATTTTAGAAGCACATGGCTTGTGTGGTTTCACTGGTTCTTACCTGGAAAGAAATTTTGTCACAGGATGACTCATACTTAGAGTCTCACCCATATCTGATTTAGATGAGATTTCTGGACTTTAGACTTTAGAGTTAATTCTGGAATGATTTAAGACTTTGGGGACTATTTAGATGGAATAAAAGCATTTTGCAGGGGAGAAAAACATGAATTTGGAGGGACCAGAGATAGAAAGCTATAGACTGAATTGTGTCCCTCTAAAACTTGCATATTGAAGCCTTAAACGTCAGTGTAACTGTCTTTGGAGACAGGGCTTCTAGGAGATAATTAAAGTTAAATGTGGTCATAAGGGTGAGGTCCTAAACCAATAGGATTGGTAGCCTTATAAAAAAGGAAGAGAGAAATCTCTCTCTCCACTTGCATGTACCAAGGAAAGGCCATGTGAAGAAGGTAGCTGTACACAAGGCAGAAAGAGAGGCCTCACCAGAACCTGAGTATGCTGGCACCCTAATCTTGAACTTCCAGCCTCCAGAACTATGAAAAAGTAAGTTTCTATTATTTAAGCCACCCAGTCTATGGTATTTTGTAATGGCAGTCTGATCTAAGACAGAAGTTAAACAAAACATAAGGTATAGTCACTAAAATAATCCCATAATATGAATATGTATATGCATATATGTTTTGTTTCATTTTTTTAAATCTAAACACAATGGACGTAACTCTTCATACTGACCTCTGGGTCCCGATCAACCCATAATGGAATCAACCATGCCAATCCTTGTTGGGTAGGAGTATGTTCTTCACTATGACTACCCAAAGGCAAGAACCAAAGTGACATCCACTCCTAGAATGAAAAAAAAAAGGAAAAAAAAAACACTTTAGGTATGTTTCTAAAAACAAAATATAGGAAGTATAAAATAATTCCCAATTTTTAAAGAGCAAAACAAGGCAAAAATGTATTTAAGATTTGCTTCTAATCCATTAATCAGTCAAAATGAGGCAAACGAGAAGATCCCAGATTCTCCTTAAAAAGTTAAACTTTTTTTTTTTTTTTTTTTTGAGACAGAGTCTCACTGTGTTGCCCGGGCTAGAGTGCCGTGGCGTCAGCCTAGCTCACAGCAACCTCAAACTCCTGGGCTCAAGCGATCCTCCTGCCTCAGCCTCCCGAGTAGCTGGGACTACAGGCATGCGCCACCATGCCCGGCTAATTTTTTCTGTATATTTTTAGTTGTCCGATTAATTTCTTTCTAATTTTAGTAGAGACGGGGTCCCGCTCTTGCTCAGGCTGGTTTCGAACTCCTAGAGCTCAAACAATCCGCCCGCCTCAGCCTCCCAGAGAGCTAGGATTACAGGCGTGAGCCACCGCGCCCGGCCCATAACATTTTTTTGACAGAAGTTATTCTTCCCATGATTTAGACAAAATATAGTTTTCTAGTGAATCAAGATTTCAATCAAAATAAATTTTAAATAAAATTCAGATCTGTATAATATACAACTTTTAAGAAATATTAACATATCTTAGTCAAAGATCATTTTTGACTTTTAAAAGGAAAAGTCAAAAAAAATTTTCACATAACAAGTTTATATGCTTGAAATGTGTCAGACACATTCCCTTTCAAGCAACTGTTCAGAAGACAGGCAGCTTTCAATGCTCTTACCGAGCTCTGAGCGTGAGCCATCATCTCGTGGGATAAGTGAAGCAAGCAAAGAATTGTACTCTTTGTAACACCTTTTCCCATAAAGGACATGGCATTTCCTCCACGCTCCACATAAAAAGAAGTAATGACCTGAAAAACAAATAAATGTGAACAATTTCATGGTGGCTTTATTTTTAACGGTATATAAATACATAACTTTCTATTGACTTGTCTGAATTGGGATCCTAATCACATAAAAATACAATATTTTTAGTTTATACACTTACAAAGGTTAAGATGGTAAATTATATGCTATGTGTGCTTTACCACAGTTAAAAAATATATTCTTAGCTTTAATATTTTTCCCTTTAGAGCTTGTATAAAAGATGTGTGGTATCCTCCTTGGACATTTTTGTAATTTCGAATATGCTTCTGACATTTTTTAAAGTTACAGCATCTTTTAGTTAAGAATTTATAAATATCTTATTGAAAAGTATACACAGAAATTGCTAGCTTTATAAAACTGCAGAGTTATGCCAGATTTTCTTGAATTGTGGTTTACACGTAAATGGACGTTTTCCTTACTTCTAAGAGATCTTAGATTTCTATTGCATACTTAAGTATATGCTTATTAATGTCATTGGTTTTTCAACTTTTTTCTCACCTACATATGTGAGAGATTTGACAAATTTCCATCAGTAACAGCAAAAGAAATGTTTCTTATCTGAAGACATATTCCCCTAACTGAGGACCTGAATCAGAATGGGCATGGAAAATTAGGCAACAGCAGTTTGAGGAAAAGTCCTTCCAGCTGATTTAGAAAATCCTTTGAAATACGTGGCAAACCCTTTTAGAGTATTTCTGTATAAATTGTACATTGTCCCCCATACAGGGTTTAAGTAAATATTTGTTAATTGATTGAATAAAAATCTTACAGCTTTTCAACTCTTAAATAAAACACTCAAAGAGATTGAAGATTATAAAAGTTTAATTAAAAAAAAATGCTAACCATATTTAGCCAATACATTTTCAAGAAAAATTTTGCTCTAAGTCGAAACAATCAAAACTACTTGTTATCTGCACTAACACTACAGAAAGTATTTCAATTTATCCTCCCAAGGTCTCATTGCTTTTATTCATCACAGAATTCTTCAATGTAAACCATTTTGTCTTAATCTAACTTTTGGGTTTTTCCCCCAACTCATGCAGCAAAACAGATTATACATATTTTCAAAAGACAGCATAAATCATGTTAATAAAATCAATTGATTGGTAGATAATTTGGGAGCTTTGACTTAATTAGAATTTTCACAAAACAATTTAAAATTATGTCTGAAAAATAAAACAAGATAGGCCGGGGGTTAACAACTGTGGGTGATAGCTATATAGGCTCTACCCCACTATTTTTTCTACATGTATATACATTTAAAATTTTTCATAATTAAAAATTTAAAATTTTAAGTGACTATGTTAAAATAAGATAACTACATAATCAAGTCCTTATCATCTTCCTCTAAGTCATCACTGGAAATATCTAACATCCGTGTAATGATTTTTATTTCCAGCTTATAAGTCATAAGCCAAGTACTTTGGTATTATCTCCTTTCAACCTGACATTTTTGTCAGATCCCTGGAATTACACATTGTATATCTGATTTTAAGAATTATCACAGTTTATTCAGCCATCATAATTAATCACACTTAGTTTAAAAGTCTCATTTCACAATTGCAAAAAGCAAATATTCACATTCAAATTTCACCGTACAGAAACAAACTGATATTAGAAATATGGCTCCCTTCCAAAAATGAATCAGCTTTAATTTCTGAGAAACTATGAAGCAAATCATTTGGACCAACGATGACTTTGTTTCAATGTCCATTCACATAAGCCTTACTTAGTTTTCTTTTTTTTTTTTTTCAGTAAAAGGCAAAAGATTTATTCGATCTGAAGACTTACTCCATTCTTTAAAAGATAAATTTAGTTAGTAGTATAATAAAGAGACCTGTTTACATAATTATTAAATTAAGCCGTCTCAAGATTAAATGTGACTCTGCTACACTTTCTAACAAAATTGAAAGATTTCTTCATATTACTTTTCTGTCATTTGATATAAAGACATAAAGATTTTCGTCTCAAGATGTTTTATGAAGCATGAAACAAACTCCTGTTTACATCAAATCAAAATTTGTTAATCAGGTTTTTCATAGCTGTGAAACATTATAAAACAGGGATTCTACCTTTTATCTCTTCTTTAGCTAATAAACTGTGATGATTTTTATTACCTCAAAGACAACTGAGGTTACAATGAGATTATTGTCTTTTTGCCTGGACTTCTTACCTAGAACTAAGCCCTTTTGTTTTCCAAGTCCATAAAAAGTTCATTTAATTTCTGGTATTTGAAACATAGATGTGATCTGAAGTCTCTCTTCTTACATAATTTTAAAAACAAA